TATAAGTATTTCTTATTTGGTGAGGTAACTCATAGCAAATTTTATCTATGGACAATATCCCCCCACAACTTTGAGATAATCCTGAAATTTTATATATGATATATTTCTTATGGTTTTCTAACTCTTGAAATACCATATATTAAATATTTCACCCCATCTACCTTTCCAAGATTCTATATTCGTTTTTCAACAAGCATGTCTAACAGTCTCTAGTGCATATGTATTCACTTTATCTCTAACTTGTTTTTATAATATGTTACTGACGTTGCTGTGAATTAATGCTAGAGATATGGGCTTTAATTAATATTTGCTTCTACATCTCTTGTATTTATGAATTGAGTTATTCATGTTAAGTTAGTCATATTAACATGTCATAACCTTTCATGTGTCACACATCACATAACTCAATCATTTAAGCAAATAATTATCTTATTATTTAAGTTTTGGATACAATCACCACAGAGTGAGCACTCACTTCTCAAGTATTATTACACACTCTTCTCATATCTCACTACTAAGTTATGATGAGCACCCACTTTTCAGTTATTACCGCTAGCTTGAAGTTAAGTTTATTTAGCTAGCAATTCTAGTAGCTCATAACTTTAGTACACACTTATCTAAGTGGTCTATCTTGGTAGTAGAGTAATTTGTTTTGAAGAATGTTCTTCAAAAATTACTACTTTACAAGTAGTATTATTCCCTCCTACATGAGCAGATATGATGAATAACTCAAATAGCTTATGGCTAAAATGGCTACTCATCACCCTTATGTTTTTTTACTATCAAGTTAAGAGCTAGAACCAACTGAGAGTTTTTCATCTTCCTCTTAGGTTTTGTGCACCTCATTAATCATTTTAGCTTATACCTAAGCTAACTAGTTTGTAATTCAATAACATTTTAGCTTTTAGCTAAATTGTATATTAGAGCTAACTAGCTTGATTTAACTTGTCTAGGTGTATTTGCTTAGTGTATCCATAACATTTTCCATTAAATTCTTTCGAGTTATTGGAAAATTTTCTCTGATTCAGCCCATTTATAGCTATACGTGTCTTAAACACTAGTATAGATCGTTTTCCTTTGACTATCAGAAGAGTTGACATAGTTGGACTAGTCCATTCATACAAAATTCAGTAATATCACATATTAAATAAATTATGTTGTAAATTTGAATTACAATACACGTTAAGTAATTCAACTACATAGTTCAATATTATAGTATCAATTGAAAGTAAACATTTATAAAAATAATATTAAACTTGCATAACAATATAATTTCATATTATATCACATGATTAATTATATCACATAATTAATATAAGAAATAATAATAATCAAGAGAAGAATTTGCTTCCTTAAAGTTTTGTGGCTTATTCTCCAATAAACATGCTAGAAAATCAGGAATAAAAGATTTAGACGTTCTAACCTTCTTACTACCTCTAAGCTCATCTTTATTTTCATTGTATGATTTATACACAAGAAATGATACGCAATACTGTTATGAGCATAACCTATCAAAGATTTTAAGTGTGGGGACTGTGCACTTGTAACTCGCCTAGTGTGGTAGCCTGTTAGTGCCTCTTGCACCCTTCCACGACACACTCACCTACAAGGTTGTCACATTTTAAGACCACTTTAACCTTTCATAAGAGTAGGATCTGCAACCTTAAATAGACACACCCACTTTTAAGAATTTATAGAAAGGTTTTCAACCTCTCCATAATTCATATGATGTCACATTTCTAAGGTTTCATCTTTGCTTCGTGGCAAATACACATAACGGTATCTTGTGCAACCAATGATAAAAGTAATGAAGTACTTTTTTCCACCTCTAGTTGGTACATGTTTAAGGTAATGTCATATACTTCATAATATCATATTACAAAATTAAATAATTCAACCAATATTGAATAATTCAATAATCTACTTATATAACATGCTTCAATTTCACATAATATTGAATGCATTAATATTTAACATATTATCATATAATAATGTATATAACATTATTTTATTATATCTCAAGTATTAGTATAATATCTACTTGTTTATATCTTAAGTAGAAACATATAATAAAATCTACGCAAGGAAGGAGTCTGTCTTAAGATTGTTGGAAAAATATATGCTTAATGTGACTTTTAAGATATAATAACCCTTATACTAATATATCATGAGATAATTAACAATATGCTAATAAATCATTAATTAAATATGCAACTCTATATTTAATTAAATATGCAAAATAAAGCAATAAAATAATAATAATATGCAAGGAATAAACCTGGACCGAGGCTAGTATTGGATACTATGTCCTTAAGACAGATTCGCCCCTTTATGGTGCTAACGGACTCAGTGGCGTCTATCTCCCAGGATACAATGGTCTACATCCACCAGTAGCAGCACTATAAACTCGTGGATACGGCGAACCTTCTCCGTGTAATACTCTCTCTGACTTAAAAATGCATCTATGCTATATAAATGCTGAATTGGGTGCAATTCGAATCAAGTGGTTCGGACCAATCTTAATATGGCTCGATGAAATTGGATTAGGGTCTAAGTGGTTCGGACCACTTAACCTATGGTTTGAACCCACTTGGGTTGAGTTCAAGTCTAGAGAGGGAGATAGAAGAAAATGAAAATGAACAATTTGCAAATGATCCAAAGGGGGGTATTTATAGAAACAGAAATGTCTTTTCGGATGAGGTGTATCTCTTCATTATTGGACACAACCATTGCAATAGGTTGCAATAGTTCACATGGTGTCTGTTCACCACTAGACACATCTATTCCAATAGATTGCAATGGTTCACGTGGTGTCTGTTCACCAATAGACACATCCATTCCAATAGGTTGCAATGTGCCTTTTCGAGTGGGTGCAACCATGGGTCATGATGGTTCGGAAAAAGGTGTAACCCTTTGAAAAAACTAAAAAGTGGTTTTTTAATTTAAAAGGTGTAACCCTTTAGAAAAACTAAAATATGGTTTTTTAATTTAAAAGGTGTAACCTTTTAGAAAAACTAAAAAGTAGTTTTTTTAATTCAAAAAACCAACCACCCAAAAACTCACTCATTTGTGAAACCCATTTAAATAAGCCCAGCCCAAAATTAGGCCCAATCTAAAATTCCAAAAAAGAATAATTTGGACTTTACAAGTAGGCCCAAGCGCAAGCCCAAGCCCAAGCCCAAATCCTAAACTCAGCTTATTTAAATTTCAATTTGTTTCAACATTTTTTCCATGTGGGACAAACACTTCCCACATTTTGCATACCCATTTAGGCTTATCAAAACACCACACTTTGGAGCTAATTTCTCATTCATCCGGAAACGGATTTCAGAAAGTAAATATACTACGTTCATCTCCTTGCGGAGAGAAACGCGCTTGTCTAGAAATCCGTAAAAAATTATTAGCGAAATCTATTTCAAATCTCATCCAAAGTTTATGTTTTTAATGCCCCCGTTTCCAACACACAATTCCATATCATATGCGGCCAGTACTAAAACAAGTTGAACAAATGAAACCTCTTCAACATTCAGTAATCTTTAATAATTTGAGATAATGATTGAGTGGGTAATCTCTATAATTGTACGTCTTCACTAAAGAAGAAAAAAAAAAAAAATTGTATTCTTTTCCCCATAGTAGAATTTCTTCTTTATGTGGACATAGGCAGGGTAGGGCCGAATCACGTTAAGCATTGTGTTATTATTATTTTCAATCTCGTTTGTTTGTGATTTAATTGTTTTTGTTGTGCCGAAATGGGCCAAAGTTTTGTTATTCTTCACTTTTTAATGTAATTAGATGTGTTCTGCTCAGCAATATCCTTTTTTCTGATGTATAACAGTGGTCCATTTTGTGAAAGAATTAAAGGTGGTTATAAGTACATACGAGGGTACTAATATTCATATGGTTACTGCTTAATTTCCCACTACTTTTAAATTAATTTTATTTTTTAATAATATTTCTACTCGAATAAGAATTACAGATATTATGGCTGAAGTACGGAAAATGAAGAAAAAAAACATGGAAGCCCATGGACTACTGAGCAAGATGTGTTCCCCAAGGTGGACTTTTGACCCTAAACATGTTGGAGTATACTTTGAGGCCATAAAAAAAGCCATCAAATGTGGAAATGTTGGAGAAGGATTACAATTCCTCGGTTGTCATTAATTATCTTCTTATAATCAAATTCCTTTCTTTTAAAAAAAAAGAAACAACTTGCCCTACAAGTCTATAGTCTATAGGAAAACAATTTCTCAGATACAAAAATGATTCTCGCACATGTCAAGCAAGTGTGACCAATTCGAGTTAAATGCGACTGGTACTACAAGTTGAACAGATGGAACCTCTTCAGCATTCAGCAATCTTCAATAATTTGAGACACAACCCAACATGAGTTGTTAGAAAAGGGATGACGATGAGGGTTCTCATGGCGAATTAGATCGTGAAAGGTTCAGGTATCTGTCACTTACCCGAGTAAAGAGTGTGTACATGATCCGGTGTCCAATGACTTTACTAATATGATTTTTCATGAGATAATGATTGAGTGGGTAATCTCTATAATTGTACGTCTTCACTAAATAAGGGGAAAAAAAAACAAAAAAAAAAAGTATTCTCTTCCCCACAGTAGAATTTCTTCTTTATGTGGACATAAGCAGGATAGGGTGAATTACGTTAAGTATTGTGTTATTATTATTATTATTATTATTATTATTATTTGTTTTGTCATTCAATCTCGTTTGTTTGTGATTTAATTATTTCTGCTGTGCCGAAATGGAACCGCCAAAGTTTTGTTATTCTTCACTTTTTAATGTAATTAGATATGTTCTGCTCAGCAATATCCTTTTTCTGATGTATAACAGTGGTCGATTTTGTAAAAGAATTAAAGGTTGTTATAAGTACGTACGAGGGTACTACTATTCATATGGCTACTGCTTAATTTCCCACTACTTTTAAATTAATTTTATTTTTTAATAATATTTCTACTCGAATAAAAATTGTAGATATTATGGCTGAAGCACGGAAAATGAAGAAAAAAAACATGGAAGCCCATGAACTATTGAGCAAGATGTGTTCCCCAAGGTGGACTTTTGACTCTAAATATGTTGGAGTATACTTTGAGGCCATAAAAAAGGCCATCAAATGTGGGAATGTTGAATTTGTTGAGGAAGTGCTGAGGTCGAATCCTGCTTTGTTGTGGGGGGATGAAGATAGTGGAAGTATATTTCACATTGCAGTTGCTTGGCGTGAGGAGAAAATATGGAACCTCATTTATGGTTTAAATACTCAACAAAGAAACAAAATTGCTGGAAGACTGGTAAAATCAAACACCATATTACATATAGCTGCATGCCCACTAGTAACAGATGATCGATACATAGGGGGAGGACTACTTTCAAAGGAAGATTCAAAAAATCAAGGAGAACAACAGTCCCAACCGAAGGTATTCAGCAAAGCTCGAGATGCAGCTATGAAAATGCAGAGAGAACTACAATGGTACGAGGTAGGTGGTAATATACATAAATATAATTATATATGTATTAATATACATAAAAAATGTACAAATTATTTTGCAATATATATATATATATGCATGCTTATAGTGCATTTTAGACATTAAAGATTTTTGCAACTAGACAATGTTTTGCTCCACATATATATGATATTAATCATATATGATCTACGTCAAAAGCTTAGACGGCTAGAAAGAGTGTAATAAACGTTAATATCTAAATATTTTGACAAGTATTTAATGTCTTTGAGGCCTTCGATCTTTTGAACCCATATATATAATTCAATTGTGGAAATTAATAATTAAGCTTCTTGTTATAACTAGAATATATATATATATTGAAAGTAGTAGAGATGGGAACTTCCATTAATTGTTAATTTAATTTGTTCTTTCTTATTAACTATGCATGATAGGAGGTGAAGAGGATGGTACCATCTTCATACAAACTTAAAGCTAACAATCATGGAGAAACTCCTTCAGATTTGCACGCAAGCTATCACAATGAATTATTGAAAGAAGGAGAACAATGGATGAGAGATACAGCAGGATCATTTACAATCGTTGCGGCTCTCATTGTCACTGTTATGTTTGCAGCAGCCTTCACATTACCTGGTGGCACCGATGAATCGGGGAATCCGGTGTTCCTAAAGTATACCTTATTTATGGTGTACGCTATAGCAAACGCAATCTCTCTATTGACTTCAACCACTTCATTGCTAATGTTCTTGAGCATTATCACTTCACGTTATATCCAACAAAGTTTCCGATGGTCATTACACACGAGACTGATAATTGGTTTGACCACCCTTTTCATCTCTATTGCAACCATGATGGTAGCTTTTGGTGTCACTCTTATTATGGAGCTTGGTAAACGAATTAGTTGGTCTACTACTCCAATCACTTTGTTTGCTGGGGCAGCTAGTGTCCCAGCAATCATATTTGGTTGGTTGCAACTTCCACTGTTTGTAAACCTAGTCTTATCTACCTATGGACAAGGTCTCTTCAAACAGAAAACAAAATGTCCCTTATTCCACAACCTACATGATCCTCCAAAACTCGAATGAGCCTGTAGGTATAATTAAATATTATTATGCAATTAATGCTTGTGATGTGGTGTGGTTCAATAAATTGCTCTTTGTACTTGTAATTATATGGATGATATATGCTTCAAGCAGAATAAGAGTGTGCTTATATATTTCTGAAATATGCAATGGCTAATTCTTAATTTCTCAATTATTTAATGCATCTCTCCTGAAAATAAAACGAAGGAAGATATATATATATATATGTCATATGTGTGTGTGGTTGGAACCAAACATATTTATGTGAACAAATTCTAGTTATATATGAGCAGTTCTTAATCTCAAGAGGTATGTTGTGGTGATACTTGTTTAATTTGAGGAGTTTATAGTTAATAAGTTGAGATTTTTTGAGAACTCCAATGCAATGCGAAAATTCCAATGTGGTTTTGATCGCCGTCTCAGTCCTAGTTTGGGATGATTCAAAGGAATTGGCATGGTGAAATTAGCAGAAAATTTGTGTTTGGTATTACTGTTTACGATAAAAAAATTAAAAAATAAAAAAGAAAAAGAGAGAGAGAGAAAGATCTTTTGTGCGAGAACAATTACCTACACTAAGAAATGGCTTTGAGAATAAACAGATTATGTTAATGTCATGAAAACGAATTATGTTGCCTCATTAATTCAGGATAGAGTTTGAAACAAACAGATAAAGACACTAAAATAAACAAGCAAAAGAAAAAAAAAAATAAACGATATATATTCAAAAGATGGATTGTACCTTTGGGTTGCTTCCTTTTTTGGGCTTAGTCACTTGTTTGGCCTAAGCCTCGCTTGTAATTATTATTTATTTATATCAGTTGCTTAACTTTTCATAATAAAAAAAAAAAAAACCAAGAACTCAAACCACCCTTTAATAAATGTGGGGTCTTTATGCTAGGAATATAAGGAAGGAATCACATATAAGTTTATAATAACACTTCTACCTTGTATATATAAATATATTTGAAAGGTTAAACAAGTATTATAAATAAGTAGGAGTAATTACAATGGGCTCAACCTTGGGCTGTAGCTACAAAGCCCAACGGGCCCAAAGGAAAAGCCCAAGGCCACAAAATAACAGAAATGATCGGCCGAATAGAACAGTGTGCTTAATATTGAATTATTGCATGTGATCTGAAATGCTCAAGTGCTCAATTGCTTATAGCTAGCTTTTAAATGCTCTTGAAGTGGTAAGGTAGGCAGATTGTTAGAGAATTTCTCAATTTCCATCATAGTATCTGGTTTGAGTATTTATTTTGAGGTGGAGAGGTCTTTAGTTGAGATGGAGCTATTAAGATATCTTTGTTTGAGGTGGAGTTATGGAGGAGCACGTGAAAATTGAATTAAAGCACATAAAGACCGAATTCAAGTCAATGTGGAGATTGTTGGGTTTTGTGGCTCGAATTTGATGTACGAGTAACATTATGACATAAGTGAATATGTTTATTTAGAACTGACCCCTTCATCTTTTTCTTAAACTAGTTGAACGTAATTGTAACCCCAATTGAACTAGTTCAAGAAAATTTGAACCAATTAGACGTGGAAGCTAGAAGATTGTTATTTTAGAGTAAAAAACTGACATGATCACTCTTTGTAGGCAAATTGGGAAATACTTGTCCAACAAGAAATTGGGTTTGAAGACTATGAATAGAGATGAGTGTGAGATGTTTAGAGAGAGAAGAAAAATGTAAGGGCGGTAAGTGTTGTGAAAAGAGGAGAGAGTATATGTAATTCCTGTTAATGCAGCCTTAAGAAGAAAGGGGTCCTGGTGTTTGTTCTTAATCCAGAAAAGAACAAAAAAGTGAGGAGAAAAGAGTGAAAAAGTGTGTGATTTTGACATCTAGTTGTATATTCTCTTCCTTAATTTATGAAAATGAAATTTTATGTCTTTTCATTTTCTTTGCTTTGGTTTTATATAGTTTGTTTTAAAAATCTACCTATTGTTGGAGGATCCTTCCTTGCCATATCTATTTAAGCTATTATTGATGTATTAAAAGGCAATTTTTGATGAATTTGAATGATACTTAAGCTTTTGAATTCTTAAAAAAGAATTCTTCTTGTTATCCTTACTTTGTATCTCTTGGTAGATTCTATAGAGTGGTCAGGTAATTCTTTTTTTTTTTTTTTTTTTTTTTTTGGTCCACTTGTCTTACGTGTCACTAAAATAATAGAAAATTGTATTGATCAATTTCTGTGAGATCTTGGCCAAAAAGAGAATGCCAACAATGTTCAAGTTTCACTCTCAAACAAGAAATTTAAGTGGACTTGCTTTAGGAGGGATCAAGTTGCACTGAATTAAATTTAAGTGGACTTGGGGGTAATAATCACTGGCCTACCAACCCATCATCAATTGGACTAGGCTGAATCGTGGGCCTACCAAGTTACCAACCCATCATCAATTAGACTAGGCAAAATTGATTGATGTTTGACTATCAATGGTTATAGATTCCAGAACTGCAAGAAAGTAAAATAAACGCATACAAATCATCACAAAATAATGGCAAGGTATGAAGATAGGGAAATGAATTAGTGAATTATTAATTGGACACTAAATTATTACACATAATTGTTCACCCTCAAATACTTATTTTTAATTAAATTTACGTTCGAACCCTTCATCCTTGAGGATGAAAAAGTAGTACCACTTGAAGCTAGAATGACCCTAAAATTTCCATATGATATGTCACAATGATTGCTTGAACTCTAAAACCAAGGTATTGAGTTCATATTTTCAGCTCCCGTGACCGTGTTCAGTTCTATAGGAGCTTCCTTTATCAGTGAACTTTTAGCTCCCGTGACTCAAATTTTTGACTCAAATAAAGTCCCATGCTTGCCTTCTTTCTTTATCAGTGAACTTTAGAGTACTATATTATGAATTTAAATACAATCAGTGATATATAAGGAAGCAAAAAAATAAAACAGGAGTTGGTTTCACAAGAATCACAAATCATAAAACAAGCCGGCGAGCATCCTCTGAAGTTGCTATCCCTGTAAATGTCCTGAAGTTAAGGTCGCGTTTGGGATGGGTCAATAGATCATGTGATTGCTGTTTACTTTAAACGCTAAGTTGGGGATAAAAAGTAAGATGTGGCAGATAGGATGTGAGCCTTGTTGACTTTTGAACCAGTCATTTTCTGCAGAAAGTTTTCTCTCTACCCCTGTTCGATCATTTTCTTCTCCCCTGTCCCTCTCATTTCACCATTGTTTCTCCAATTTCTTCTTCCATTTTTTCTCCCACTTGATGAAAACCCCGACCTTAAAAAGACTGTTCATTTTCTTCTCATTCCGGTCCCTCTTATTCCACCATTATTTCCTCAATTTCTTCTTCCATTTTTTCTCTTCTTGTTGTTCACCTTCCATTATTCACGGTTGATAAAAACCCGGACCTTAAAAAGACGCAGTTACCCAATACAAATTCATCTTCCTCTATGAAACATGGATATGGACAATACGAAACCACAATGCTTAATATATATATATATATATATATATATATATATATATATATTAATATGTATGTATGTATAATGTATGGATTAATTTAAATAATTATTATATATGTTCTATATATTGTTATTAATATATTTTATTAAAAAATATCATGATTAACCAAAAAAAAAAAAAAAGTGACATATTGCATATTTTGCATTAATAAATTTATTTTAAATCATGATATATATTTCTATAGTCCCTTGTTTAAATAAACTTTTAAATTTTCTTAATAATTATATTATAATATTATTATTTGAAAAGTTACTTTTTAAATTATAACAACATATATGTGGTTCCACTGCGAATTAAAAAATACGGTATACTATGAATATATTTAAAAAAGTAAACACGTACATATATTCATTAATGTACAACAAGTTGAACAGATGGAACCTCTTCAGCATTTAGCAATCTTCAATAACTTGAGACACAACCTAACATGAGTTGGTAGAAGTGGGATGACGATGAGGGCTCTCATGGCGAATTAGATCGTGAAAGATTTAGGTATCTGTCTGTCACGCCCCAAGACCGAAACCGGATTGTGAACACCACACAAATAAGAGTAATTTACACAGACCTCTCCTATGGTTTGCTATAATTACAGGCAGCACCCTTCCTGTTTCGAAAATTACGCGGACTTCCCTTTCGTTACGGTCACCGCCAGTCAACGACGGGAATTAATGATGTCATCTACTATTTTTTTAAAAATTCCTAAAACACCTTTGTCTATATATATATATATATATATATATATATATATATATATATACACGCACACACACATATATAACCGTTCAAGTCCCTCAACGGTGGTGAGCTCCGGTGACTTTTTCAATCCACGGCGAAGTCGTGGCCCTTCCCTAGTATGATCTTCGGTGCCACGTAGTCCTCCGTGGCATTTTTGTAGGACGCCGGTGATGGCGGTGCATTTTTGTAGGACGCCAGAGCGACGACAGCTCGAGGTCTTCTCCAGGTCCCTATGCGAGAAAGAAAATTTGATAATTTCACATTTTGGATAAGAAGGATCACTGAGATCCCAAGCACTTTAATTTTGTTGTTTTTTCTTTTTTTAGACGGCCTTTACTGTCTCTCTCCTCTCAACCTTTACTCTCTTTCCTCTCTTTTTCTCTCTAAACTAACCTTTTCTCTTCACCGCCGCCGCCCATAAACACCACCTCTACTGCAAAATTCATCCAAAATACCCATCATGAATCAATTGGCTGTGGATCAGATGGCAATGGAAGCAAATAATTTGATCATGAATCAAGCGGCTGTGGATCAGATGGTAATGCCGCCTTCCAGTTTCTTGGCTTCTGACCAGAATTATCAGAATTTTTCGTTAGAAGGCACTGGTTTTGGTGATGATTTTGATTTTGATTTTGGTAATTATGATTTTGGTAACTTTGATTTGGATTATTAATTTCTAGTTTCTTGGATTTGTGATTTTGATTTTGGTAATTGTGATTTTGGTAACTTTGATTTAATTATCAGAATTTTTCGTTGGAAAGCACTGATTTTGGTGATGATTTTTATTTTTGGTAATTGTGATTTTGGTAACTTTGATTTGGATAATAAACTTCTAATTTCTTGGATTTGTATGTAAACCCTAACTTTGAGAAGGGTCTGCT